AACTAGTTAAAGGTATTACTAAATTGAGATGTGAAGGAGAAACGTAGTGGGAGAATAATATTTAAGCAGGAAACAGATTGAGTACAGTACAGTACTTCTAAATATCTCTGAAAGCAGACTGACTTGAAACATAGTTTTAAAAAAAGTGGACTATACATAAGTTTTCTTAAATTGATGTGACCCATCATGATATTTTTTACTGTTATGCATTGAGATTAATGGTAATCAATTATAATGGCGCAATTTTTGATAACGCATCAAATAAAAAATTTGTAAAATATGGACAACTTAATTTTTAAGTACACATTTGATTCTTATTTATTTGGTCTTTTTGATTGATTTTCAGACATGTCAGGCAAATTGAGCGGTAATACAAACGTCGCTGTTAACAAAGTCAAGCAAGAGAATAATCAAGAAACCGTCAACAAGACAAAGCCGGTGAAAGCATTACCGGAAGTGGCACCACTACGTGTCACAAATATAAGAAAGACCAGCATTTCTATGCCCAGCAAACTCGACGAGATGGACGATCTTCGAATAGACAGACAAAACGTAAGTCAAAATTCACCAATTATTATTACGATAATATCTACGCGAGACATTATAAATTAGTCGGATAGTCTGTCATTAAAATAGACGTCGTCGAATATTGCGACACTTTACATAAGTAAAGGAAGCGATGACGCAGGTTCCAAGTGACGAAAGAAGTATCCTTCGGAAATCGAAACAAGAAGATTACGAGTACACTTGTACACAGTCTTCCGAAGCCGTGATTTCGAAAGTCAAACAACATTGGCGTATTCTCACTGAATAATCACCGGCAGTCTCTCTAACGACGAGAGTAACGTTGTTATATCTCGTAATTCAAGTTCACGTAAAAGAATTTATTTTAAGCTCGACTTTTCTCGAGAAGTTGACTTGATCATTTTCGAATTGTTCTTAAAGTGATTGGTGATTTATTTTATTATAAATTCACTCAACAATGTATTACTCGTTTTATCGTAAGAAAGTGTATTATGTGAAAAAAGATAAAAGCAGTACAGAGACAACTGCTATTATCAATAAACGCCAAAGATTGCAGGTACAGTTCTATTTTAGCGGAACATCCTAGAAAAGACAATTATTTCAACATTTCGACTTTAGACTCTTATAACTTTTTTTCTACAGCACCTACAGTAAAAACAAGCATACTTTTCTCATGTAATTTGGGTATGCGCTATCGATTGAGCCTATTATCAACTCAATCGGCCCAGCCGTTATTGAGATCCGATAATCTCGGCTCGTCTCAACTTTCGGGCTCGCGTAAAGATACGCGGTCGGACTTGCGCTGCGCGTGAACTTGGCGCGAGACACTAGCGTGTCTCTTGATATATTCCTTGGCCGATTAGCAGATTTAGATTTATTGCTGTTCAAGAGGTGCGCTAAAAATATCTTGCAGTTAACATAGAAACGAGTTTACATTGTCGTTATCTGTTATAGTATTTATATCAGAACCGGTTTTTAGGAAAAACGAGTTTTCCCGACACTGCGTTATGTAACGTTTATCACCGCTGAACTGTCAATGTTAGCGGAGAATATAGTATTGTGTGTGTTGTGTGGCTTAAAGCGAACAGTTCTTACCGGCCGCTTGATATGAACGGTAGCATTATCTCGTGCGTGACGTTATTACAGATTTGGTCTTTTCTAATTGTATTTTTCCATATCTTCTTTTTTTCTTCTTTTTCCCTGCACGATCTATTTCGATTTTATTTTAAATACACAATATGTGAGTAATTCAGATAAAAAAGACAAATAAAGGCCTTTAATGTTTGCGATAAGTAGTAAAGCAAAAGACACTTTTGTATAATAAAATTATGTGATATTTTGATGAAAATGGAGGCCGATAATTACGCAACGGTGAGCATCGTGTCGATTATCAAGATTTATTGATATTTGGTCAAAGTAACGAAGTCTGAACATGTAAACATTTGTATCGACGGAACTGTTGCATGGTGCAATTAGCGTAACGCTAACAATTTTAATACGAAAGAAGTGCTTAACATGCTCGAATGACGTTTTGCTTCAGAAGAATACGTTATTGAAGTTGCTTGAAACATTTTATATATTAAATTTATCACAATGTACAATAAATTTTCCAATAAGAAGTTCATTTCAAAATATAGGCATTGCACACAATTGTTCATTATAATTGTTCGATATAATATCTCAGTTTTTAATGATTTCAATGTACACATTTACGTCTCTTAAATTTTTTATTTCCTCTTAGGAAAAAAATTATAAATGTTAATTTACAAAATATAAAATTCAAAAAATGTATATCTTATCAGCGTTGCATGATATTTCCTCGTGAATCGTTTGTCAATAAAAAATAATGTAAGCATGACGCACCAAGCGTCGAAACGCAGCATTGCTGTCGTTACATCAGCGATCAATATAGATAGAGCACGGATAAATCTTGTATGATTGATTTATGGCATCGATTGACGAGTTCGTCTCATTGCACAGGTGTCGGTTTGCACGCATTTGTTTATAACCAAATGGTAAATTGTGTTTCAGGGAACCGCTGCAAAATTCGGAAGAGCGGAGAGCGAGACCAGCAGCAGTGTGACTTTTAGCAACAGTGGTTCAACGCCGAATGGAAGTCCTCTGGGATCCGAAACGGAAGAGGAAGTAAATGACGATGAGCTGGTCAAGTGAGTATTATATTGAATGATCAATAAAATTAAAATTAATTGACTACAATTTAATCGAATAATTCGTTAAATTAATATTAAAATTAATATTAAAATAATAAAATATTATAAATATTAAAATAAAAATAAATTTGTATCATTACAATAAATTGCCTTGACTGCAATTAAAAAATACTAGAATTTTAATATATTGATAACAAAGATTAATCTTTTAATAGAATTTATTAAATGATTTTAGAATTCTTTTTAAATATGATTTTAAAAAGTGACTTTTTAATACAAACTTGCGTCTTTGTTCGATGTATGATAATTGCACAGTATAGCATATTACATACGCTGTGGTGTTTAGCATTCCAATATTGATCCGGTTTACACCTGTAATAACTCGTTCTAACCACGTAATAAATCCATAAATGTCGATGCTACTGAGACTGAAGCTGGAGAAACATTCCGTATTAGTTTCTCGCGAGAAGCCGTAAACTTCGACTGTAAGGTCCGATCCACACTAGCGGTCCGCTCCGCTTTCAGTCCGATTAAATATTCTTTCGTTGTTTCTTTCTTCTTTGTATTGTTTTGAGGGATCGTTGCTGGAGCAAAAGCGGAGTGAGACTTTGAGTGTTACTCACAGTGTGGATACGTACTTTATAAACAATTGAAGAATGTCGATCGGACTAAGAGCGGAGCGTGAGCGGACAGATAGTGTGGATTAGGGCTAATTTTCTCTCGACGATGTGCTCTGAATGCGCAATTTACATTGTAATACTTCATCAGTTATACGCACGAGGTACTGTTTACTATTTTCACTTACCATCAAGTACGCTCGGACCAAAAAGATAGGACAAACGTACTTATCTGACCACACGTTCATGGTCACTGTGAGTATCAGCGTCGTCGAGTTCGACCTTTTTTTATCGCTTCAGGGTTATCGCGCTGTGATATTCGTCTTTTACGATTACCAGTGATGCCATTTCGAGCTCCGAGTATCATACGCACACACCGAAAAATCGCGTACATGCGTTGCGCAGAACGCTATGCTCAGCACATTTACGTGATTCTTCGGCGTATGCGTATAGTATTCGGAGCTCGAAATGGCATTGCTGACTCGTTTCGGTCAACAGTCGCCGTTTGATCATAATTATAGCTCCACTGTTTTTTTCTTCTGCGCAAAATTCTCCAAAATTTTCTATTACTTTTTATCGGCGAAATATGCGAGTGTCGTGTGCTTAATGTCGCATAAAAATATCATAATTGAAAAACAAAAAATAAATTAACAATTGACCAGAAATCAACTGTTTCTGCGATTTGTAAAGATAACAAGATGATTCCCAGATACGATGTCGGTAGCGCTCTATCATTGCAAAGGTACAACAATTTGTACGCATCTGGCAAAATTTTGAAATAAGAATATGTTACTGTTTATTTGATTATATAGTTGTGAGATAATAATTTACAAATCTTTTCCAGAGTGCCGCTGCAAGCTCCACCGCGAAGAAAAGGCAAAATCATGTCATCGTCGATTAACGAAAAAATGGGAAACGATGCTACGGAACTTTCAGGTGTGCAAAGTGCGAATTCCACGATAACCAGCGTGAACAGCATTAGTAGTCTCTTGAAGGAGAAACTTCAACTGTCGCTACCACAGGCTCTGCGAAGCAGTGCGCGACGTCAGAATGCTGATTATAGGTAAAAATTGAGAAAATTTAATATAGAAGATAACATAGACGTAAATAGATTAACTTCTAATTAACATAGATTAATTTTTAATAACTTCTAAGAATTAATTTCTTGCAGGCTTAGAGCATTCGTCGGTTTCCTCTTCCTCTGTGTTGTATTCCTCGTGGGATTCGCACACATTTATTACACACAGCACGTCTTGCAGCGAGCTTATTTCGATAAATTTAGGTGAGTGTCATTAGCAATAAATTTAAGTTTGCCGTCGATCATTAGTTTTAGATGCAATGTTACGTAAATAATAATAATAATATTAATATAAATAATAATAATAAAACGTGTGCAATAAATTTACTTATTGTCAACGCATGAACGCATGTATAAATATGTTATTCCGACACTTAAGCATCCCACCGATTATCGAATCACAGTAATGTTTCGATAATTTGCATCGCTTGCCTACTATGGAATAACTTTCGGTCGTTTGCCTCTGCCAGGAAGCACCTAATGGAATACATTAAGGCTCGTTTATCGCGCTGATCTCGTGCCAGTCTCAAAATGCGTATTCAATTGTTAATCCAACGCTTAACTTTTTAAGGGCTACAATTATCTTAGAATTGTGGGAGAAAAGTAATTTCAATCGTCCGACTTCTCATACGCACTCTACTTCTTTTCATCATTATAATTATGCTTTAACTCCCTCATTACACCTCATATTTCTCCATCAATTTCGTATTGATAAGAATTGTGCCTGTAATAAAAATAATGTTAAGAGAAATGTCAATTAATTTATCTTAAAACTGAAAAAAGTTTTAAACTGATGTCTCCGTCTCTCCAAATATTAACACATTTTTGCTTTACTTATCTTCTATAAAAATCGCGAAAATTTCTTCAAAATTCTTCAAAATAATAATTGCTCGTCTCGATATTTTTCAGGTTTAATAAAAACGACAGAGCGATGAAAATTTATAGCAAAACCGGTGCGGAAGTGATCGCCGCTCGGGTCGGCGAAGGTATCCCGTCGGACACAGGAGTGTATCCTTGCCTACCGCATCATCAAAGGCAGGATTCGGTCTGCCTCGAGTGGCTGCACCAAACACGGCTCTATCTCGCGCACACGAAGCACGGCGACATGCATTGTTACCACATCACCTGGCAGAGCCTGAGCCCCTACTACAATCCCAAGGACTGCTTCGACTGGTCCTCGAAGAGGGGTCACTGGTACGGCGCCGGCCAGATCCAGAATATGGCGTATCCTCTCGAACGCGGCCGCCTGGAGCTGAGCCCCTTTATTACGGGCGACGTGCGAAGACATCCCTTTGGCAATGTGCTAAAGAGGTACTTCCTCAATTCAAAGGGCGCTACGATCCTGGTGGACCCGGAAACGCCGCTGTACGTCTCCATCAACGCCAATAGATCCAACGAGTTCTGCCTTCAGGCCAAGCACGACGCCTTCGCCTACATCAATCACCTCACACCGCTACCTCAGCTCAATTACACCATCTGCGCCACCGACAACATGAAGAGCCTGCACTCCTCGATGGCGGAGAAATCCCTGTGGGACGGCTTGAAGCCCGACGAGCTGCACGCCGTTCACTCCCTGCTGTCCGAACCGGTCTGGCAAATTTCGCCCACTAACGAGGCGGCCATTTACAACTACACGGAAGACGTGATCGCGCTGGGATTCCTTCGCCAGGGACACGTTTTGCTGAGCGAGGAATGGCAGCCTAATTCGGGAGATTTTGTCCTGGACGAGGAACGATTTCCCTCCATGGAGGAGACTATTAATATTATTCACCGCAGAGGATTTAGAATAGTTTTCAGCATCCAGCCGTTCATTTCCACGGAATCCATCAACTTCAAAGACGCTGTCGCTAATAGATTGCTGATTTCTGAAAGAGGGAGCGATCCTAGAATTCCGGCGCTGGCAAGGTTGTTGAGAAACAAATATCAATTAATCTTAAATAAATTATATGTCTTTGAATATCTACGTTCAATTTCAGATACAAGCTGAGTAACAGCGCCGGCGTGCTCGACATCACGAACAACAAGACCTTGCCGTGGCTGCAGACGAAGCTCGAGAGCTTGATCACGAAATACCACGTGGACTCGTTCTACCTCGACCTGGGCACCGCTCAGGACATGCCGCACTACTACAAGTGCGAGCAGCCTCTGACCAATCCCGACCATTACAAGACCATTTTCACGCATTCGATACTAGGCACCATACCGGTGATCGGCGTTTCCAGCGCCATTTCCAGGCCACGAGCACCCGTCTTCGTGTCTCTGCCACCTTTCGCCTCCTCCTGGAAGGCCATCAAGACCGTCATTCCCACGGTTTTGAGCTACGGTATGATCGGCTATCCGTTCATCATGCCGGGAGCGGTCGGCGGCGACGTGGCGCTACCGATGTCCGACAACAATCCCGATAACGATTTCGAGGTGAATCTGCCGGACAAGGAGCTCTACATCCGATGGCTGCAGCTGTCAACCTTCCTGCCGGTGATTCGCTTCACCCACTTACCCAGCAAATATTCCGACGAGTCGGTCCTGGAGATCGCCAAGAGGCTGACCACTCTGCGGCAGAAGACGGTGACGCCGTTGCTGAAAAAGTACGCGAACGAGACTCTGGACACCGGTCTGCCCATCATTCGACCGCTGTGGATGCTGGATCCGGCCGATCCGGCCTGCCACGTGGTGGTCGACGAGTTTTCCGTGGGCGAGGAATTAATTGTGGCGCCGGTGCTCTATTCGGGCAGCAGGCAAAGGGAGGTTTATCTGCCGGCCGGAGTCTGGCGGGACGGCATCGACGGAAGTCTGCGGAAAGGTTCGAGGTGGATTCACAATTACAGAGTCGCGGAGGACAAAATAGCGTACTTCGTCAAAATGCCGGATAACACGAGATTCTGAAAGATTCCTGCATTTCGCGGACGACGTCGAAGAAATTCAAGATCACCGGATTAAAGTACGATTACTCCACTTTGTGCGACGCTGCAGTTTGCTCGTATGCCAAATATAGTATTTTATATTTGATAAATTCTCTGAAAATGCAGAAAAAGGATTGTGCAGTGACAAGTAATCTAATCTTGGTGTTGTAAAGTCATAAAATTTAGCAAACATGCAAATACGTTATTCAATAGTTAAGTGAATGTACCAAAAAAATTTTGAATGTTGTAATTAAATATTCGACATCGCGAACTTTGAGAGTGCAAATGGATAGTTATGCAGTGATAAATACTTAATGATGTGTAAAGTCATAAGTAAAGCATTTACACGTGCATAAATGAGGCGCGTTATACAATATTCGAGAGATATATTAAGAAATTTTGATTATAGTAAAAGCATACGATGTTACTATTCTATGAATACGAGATATTATCGACAATTTATAGTGTATATCATGTTGATACACGTCGAAAGAACATAAAACAAGTGTAGATTTAACTTATCCCGGCAATTATATTTATTTTACACAAAAATGCCACACCCAACAGTGTGGCATTTTTTTATCTTTATTATCTGTATCATTCAGTTGGTGATTTACTGATGAGACTGAGAGAGAGATTTTAATGATACAAATAAAAATATAATGAATATAGTCGTATCTGAATGCAATCTTGCAGAGCGCACGAGCTATATATTTATTTTCTTATTACAAACTTACATGACATATAAAACAAAATACGTAAGCATGCAAAAGCAGGGATCGAAACCGGCGTAATTTTCGATGAATTTTCCACTCTTGACACCGTATAGATGTAACCGATCGCGCGACACGCGGAGATTACTTTCGCACGTGTGCCGCATTGAAACCCCGGAACGCAGCGAGATTACGTCGGTTTCGATCCTCGTGCAAAACATATCGAATCGGGATCTACGGTCGATCGACGAGGAGAAAATCAAGACGCGTGAGACACACAGGCGAAGATTCTAAGGTATAGTGTATATTTATTATATTATCATTTTTATCATATAGCATAACATTGTTATTTCTATAATAATAATAATCATAGCACCATGAACACTCCACAGTAAGTTTTTTAATTCGTTATTCGAAAAAACGCGACGCGCCGATGCGTTGCGACGGGTGAGAACCGCGATCGTGTGATCGCGCGGGAACCCAGACACGACGCCGAGATTTCAGAAGATGCCCGAACAACGCCCGAAAAGAACAAATTATTGAACTTACGAGCGTTTGCCGGACGTTCTTCCAACGTCCTCGTGGATCTCGCGCTATCTCGGGTACGCGCGAAGTCTCTCGTTGCGCGACAACGAAATTCTCGACCGGACGTGACTAGACAAATCTCTCTTTCTCTATCTCTTTCTACATTGGGAAACGAAATTTCCGACTAGAGTTTCTGGCGAGAGAATTTCCGGCGGAGGAAAGGTGCCTGTTTTGATTTTGCTGATCACCGGGGCCGTCCGTCCGGTGGATTTAAGAAGTGATCGAGAAATGCGAATCAGAAAAAAGAAACGAGAACGAGAATCGCTTTCCTCCCTCGCACGAAACGACCGACAATTTCACAATTCCAAATGAATAATATTGTTGATTGTTCTTCGACAAAGAAATCACCGATATCACTGTTCTCACACGCGTCGAGCACCGCGATTTAGGGGTTCGTATAGGTGTCGAAGGGCTCACGTTTTTCACATCCCTCGTTCTCTCCCGCTTTCTCTCTTTTGCATCTTTCTCTCTGACTCTCTCTCTCTCTCGCGCTCTCTTATACTCCCTTTCTCTCTCTCTCTCTTACGTACTTCGCGTTCATATATTATATAGATATCTATATATATAATATATATATATATATACTTTTTTCTTCCCTCATATTTTATCCCGCTAATCTGTTTCAGTGAAAGCTCGTTCCTAATTTCTTATTTGTTCTTTTTTTTTTATTATTTTATACTTTTTATTTAAATTACTCCAATAAACTCATCGTTTATTTTATCTATCCTGCGCACTTCATCATCGATCGACAATAGCTTCATTTAATAGTTCATTAATTTATTTTGTTTCGTTAAATTGAATTTTATAATTTTAACATCCTACCTAGATAACTGGTCATTATATTACTTGTCAATAAATAATACATAAATACATAGGTACATACTTCATCGTCATCACCTCTCTCTCTCTCTCTCTCTCTCTCTCTCTTTCTCTTTTTTCTCTCTCTTTCTCTCTTTTTCCTCTTTTTCCTCTTCTCTCTTAGATCTCTTTTTCCTTGCACGTCAATAACTCGCTGTCATACGTATCAAGAGAGGTATCGATAAGCATTATAAAAACTTTTCTACTGATGGAAAGAGAACAATGATGATGATGATAATGACCCACTCTCGCGAACGTAATCGGAATATGTAATAATATTAATAGTAGTCACAATAATAATAGCATAATAATATTAATTGCAATGATAACAAGCATAATAGTCATTAAAAGTAATCGGTATGGTAATAATCGTATTTATAACAATATCGATCGTTTTCGTCTCTGCTTCTCGATGTCACGTACGTTTCCCTCTTCGCTATTTTTTTTTTTTTTTTTTCCATTATAAAATCTTTTTTTCGTTTATTTTTCTTGTCCCTTTCGTCGATCGGCGAAATAAAATCTCAGTCGCGCATGACTCCGCTGGAAACTAAAACGGACATAATCGGTCTCTCGGAGACTTTTTCGACAACCAATTCTCATCGAATAAACGCGCTTCTGCGCCTAGTGAATGCGATATATAATGATCACGCGAACGAAGGATGAACAATAAATAATCACACGAATGACAAATGAGTAATGAGTGACACATGTGTGTGTGTGTTTGTGTGTGTGTGTGTGTGTTTGTTTGTTTGCGTACGTACGTGTATGTGTGTGAGAAAATAAATTCCGCGCGATCGGAACAAAATCATGTGTGACTTAGAGGCGGTAAAAAACTTACGCACTAATCTATAGAAATCGGACCCGAAGGTCGCGCTATCGCGTGTCGATTGCAGCGACAAGACAAATCGTTTTCATCAACCTCTCCCGATCGCACGCCTCGATACCACCATACCTTAATGCCACCGTAAACGATCGGTCTAATCGAGCACCATCATTTTCGTGTAGGCACGAATGTGTCTCGTATAGAGGAGAGCTTTCTCCGACTTTCATTCGGCGAGATCCATTCGTGGTCGCTGGACTATGTTTCAATCCGACCGTACAATACGCGCGTCGCAAAAATGTCCTAAAACTTTCAGATAGAATCGTGCAAAATCGTGTCCTTTAGGCGTTCTTCAATTCTCAGGCGTCAATTGAGAGAGCTTCTTTCCAACTTTTGCGTGTGCAGTCCTTAAAACCCGACAACGGAACAGCCTCCGTGCTTCAGCTGTGTATACGAATAAAAAATCTATTTTTGCGATAAATATTACTTTCGTCCATGGATCTCGCGAGAATAATGAGCAAAGGTGTCCTCTATAAGTTACAGTTCGGTATCGCGCTTAATCGCACTTGTCTCTCTCTCTCTCTTTCTCTTTCTGTATCGATTCTTCTCTCCCGACCGCATGTTCTCTGTTTCTGAATCAATATCCTCTGCGTACGTGCTTCTGCCATGTCCCTAAATCGTAGTTGTTACTTTCGCGTCGAGTTTCAACCAACGCGTTTTGATTTCGAGTCAAATGTAAGGGCGACACAAGCGACTTGACATGACGTCAGAGTGCGATCTAGGGATACGCACGCAGGATCGGCGTTACAGATGGATTTCTTAAGGTACAATTACGCGAACGTTTAGAATCGAGATACTTGGTACAATCTGGTTTCTCTCTCTCTCTCTCTCTCTCTTTCTCAATCTCTCGAAAGAGAAGCAACAGAAAATAGGACACTCAGGACAGCGCAAGTGTCCAGCGTCTTTCACACGTCGCGGACTTTCGCGCTGTTCGGGCGGGACTTAACATCGACATCTTCACAGAGACTCGTTCGTAAACGCATGCCTCTGCGTCGGGACATTAAACGCTCATTCACGCTCTCGCTGCTTAGGTAAAAATAGATGGGAGGCCTGTCATCAGCTTGCTGAAAATGATCATGTCCCATGTAGTGAGGGTCGAATAAGCGCGATGTTCGATACGTTCTTCTCCTCCGCGTTAATCAGTCGATGTGCTCACCGTTTCGCCAGTTTGACACGCTTCGACTTTTGCAATGAAACGTCCTAGTTCAGAGAAAGTTAAGTACAAAAAGTTTCATCGACTTTAATCGACTCCCCGAGTGGACTTCGTTAACTTCAAGTTCGCCAGAGACGTACAGCCAAGTCCGTCCGGGAGCGGATATCTATTCCAGAGGTAACAATCGGTTTTCTTCGAGGTGAACGATCTCGCCAACACCTCAGAAAACAGTGGTCGGGCGAGACAGTCGTTCGGGGCAAATCATTTCCCCGAGTTTTACGAGACTCCACTCGCGCAACAGATACGTTTGATCTGTCATTGCGCGGACGATGACGCGACTTTATCGCTGCGGCGGAGATTCCGCTTCCGTCCGTCCGCTAATTCATCCTTAAGCATCCAGCGATCCTTCTTTCGTGCCGCCTGTCAGCCGAGTTTTCTCCATCACTCTTCGTTCCGCGTTCGCAGAACTTTCTTCGACAGATCACTCTTCGCCAGACAGTTCTTCCTTCGCTCAGAAGGTTTTTTTTAGGCATCACTGGAATTGGAGAAACTTCGAACGAAGTTGCAAAATCTCGCAACTTCCGCCCGTCTTACGCGGACGGGTTGCAAACTTGTTTGCGCGACGCAGTGACTCGGTCACGTTTGCTCTCAGCGCTCGTTTCTCCCGCGAAAACGACGTCAACGTCGAAATCATCATCGTCGCAAAGTCTCGCGGGAAAGGTGATGCTTCTGAAAACTCGCCACCGCGACCAATGTTTTCCGAAGTCCCGTCCGCGTCGCAAACCTCAGGAAACACAGGGGGTATCCTCGTTAAAAAAACATCGAAGACGGACGATCGTCCGTTGGATGGACGTCTCGAGATGTGTCATTATCGCCCTTCCATCGCAGTAACGAAACGCTCGCCAGGTCTTCTCTTCGTCGCCGCGCCGTTCTCGTCCGAATTCGGCTCGCGCTCGCCTACGCGGATCTCAGTGGCAAAGCAGACGGAAAAGTCTGCCCGCGTACCATCGCTCCCGTAATCTCTATTCTCTACGATATAGAAACACGACACAGATAATTCCTATCCTAGTGCTTCCCGATGGAATTTAGCCGTTTTACCTACGCACGAATAGACATTTACGATGAGAAAGGGGGACTGTTAACAACGAAGGACAATGTTTCGGAGGTAAACGTTCTCTCCTCGGGCATATCTCGCGGTGTCTCACGTTAAAGACGACGATCCATCGGCGGATCCTCCTCATATCGTCGCGCGCGCGCGCGCGTCCATCGCGAACGCGCGCCTCGTCCCGTTCGCAAATATGTCTTTCAAGGTAAGATGTTTCTCTCGTGATATCCTTCTCTCGTTTTCTTTTTTTTCTTTTTTTTTCTTTTTAACTGAATACACTGAATACTACGCGGTGCTCTTGAAGCGGCAGCTGTGTCAGAGATATTAAAAGTTTTACTTTAATCTGCTGATCGAGGAGAGGGCGGGGCAAGAAGGATGCCGCTGCGACTTTTCGAACCCGCTGTGCGGATCGCGAGTCGGGAATTGGAATATTCTAAAAGTCTCAATTTTATTCGGTAAACTAGCGTACAGGATTGTCCCAGGCCGCGGCACTTCCGGATCGTCGTCGATTCGCGATCGTCATCTCCCTCTTCGCTTGAACGTGAAACCTTCGTGAGAACGAATCGTTTTTTATAACTTGAGCAGTGATTGATAAGATATTACACACGGTATCAGCGCGCTACGGGCAAAACGGTGCAAAGTGTAGAAATACAAATATCCGTTAGACCAAGGATACCCGACGGACGCCACTGTTGTCACAGTGCGAATTAATCGAATGTGGGATTCTCTCTATCAATAATCGGCTTCTTAAAAGTAAGTAATTAATTAATTTATACCTTGTATCCGTGTAAGGGAAAACCCTTGTGATCTCTTTCTCCCTTCTCGTCGCCCGCGCCGTCTCCTCGCGAAAGAATACGGGGGAACATCTTAACTTAGATTAAACATCTCGATTTGAGAACTGCACGATCGAAGGTCGGTCCTGCTTCCTCGGGACAATTTCCAAGATTATTGAATAGAATTTCCACGATCCTGATAGGCCGCAGAGCTATAACCGCGAGAGAATCTCAAAAATTCGAAAAGCCGTTTGTCTTCTAGAAAGAAGGTCAGGGATCGCCTGACGGGACGGTAGGTCGGCCTGCGCTCGGCGTTTTCCTCTTTTTTTTTTTTCTTTTGTATTTCTATAGGAATGGGTCCAAAAAACGGAATGATGACGCGTTCCGGACGCCGCTCAGAACTCGACTATTACGGCTGAGCAGGCTGCCAATCCCTAGAACTCGAGCCTGTAGGCACTGCAACTAGTCTCGTGATCCTGGAGATTGATAGTGCACCGAGACGCGGACGGCGATAAGTCTATGTGGTTTGCTGCGAGCGCCTCTTCATTGTCGGCGACCCAATAACCCAGGGTGTCAGTGTCGTACGTCGGTATCATGGTTACCTCTGAAAAAAAAACATAGCAAATTTTTGAGGATAAATTGAAAAAATTCTTCAGGCTTGTGCAACACTCTGCAACTCAATAAGAAAATTTTTCTCGCAAAATTTATGACAAATGTTAAATATTAAAACATTATATCTACAATACGTGTTTCTTTTTCTAATTTTGCTATGATTATTTTAGCCGAGTTACACAACTATAAAGATAAACTTGTATTTTATACGCTAATGATAAACGTTATTTTTCACAAAATGTATTGATTGACTTTAAAGTTGCATAACTCGAACAAAATAATCGTAACAAATCATTGAAAAACGTGTTGTGTAGGTAAAATGTTGTGGTTTCTGACACTTGTCAATTTTACAAAAAAAAATTTTTTTATTAGGTTACAGAATATTGAAAATACTGTGTTCTTCCTTCAAGCTTAGAATTGTAAAAATAATAAATTTTTAAAAACGGCCTACGGCATGTGAAAGTACAAGTTTCAAGCTTTAAAATGCTTTTTTAATTTTTGATCTACGATGATTTTTCGCCGAGTTGCAGCGATTTGAAAATTGGTCAATTTTAAGCGTCTGAACGTCTCGACACGGCGGAGCAATGCGGCTGAGAACAGCTGAGTACGCGCCATTGTACTGCGGCAGCGTATTAATGGCGCGCAGTCAGCCATTCTCGGTCGCACTGCTCCGCCGTGTCGAGACGTTCAGACGCTTAAAATCGATCAATATTCAAATCGCTGCAACTCGGCGAAAAATCATCGTAGATCAAAAATTAAAAAAGCATTTTAAAGCTTGACACTTGTACTTTCACATGCCGTGATCTGTTTTTAAAATTTTTTTATTTTTACAGTCCTGAGTTCGAAAGAAGAACAGAGTACTTTTAATACTCTGTAGCTTGATAAAAAAATTTTTCTCGCAAAATTTGTGACAAATATCAAAGACTACAACATCTTACCTACACAATGTGTTTTTTTAAATTTTGCTATGTTTTTTTTATCCAAGTTACGCGATTTTGAAGCCAACTCTACATTTTGTGAAAAATAACGTTTATCATCGGCATTAGCGCAGAAAATACAGATTTAGCTTCAAAGTCGTGTAACTCGGGCAAAATAAATCATAGCAAAATTTAAAAAAACGCATTTTGTAAGTAAAATGTAACTTTTTGATACTATAAATTTAGTGAGAAAAATTTTTGTATCAAGTCGCAGAGTGTTAAAAGTATATATATATATATATATATACGTAATTCTTGTTTATTAATATTTACTTAATGTTCTTAACACATATTCTTAATAAATTTACCAAGTTCTTTGTCTTCCCAAGTCTTTTTAGCTTCCAGTAAAGCATCGTAAACCTCTCGGCTAGGTTCTGTGCCGCTGAAGACATAATATCTCGCTCGCACTCTCTTGAAAAATTCCAAGGAAGTGTAATAAGAATTTCCGTGATGTGGCACGTACGCCAAGTCCATGTAGACCGGCTGTATTTTATTCTTCGAGTCTTTCATTTTCTTTTCATTCTTGCCAGGACTCTCCGAGCGTTTTTTATTCTTTATATTCTCCGACTGGATCTTCTTCGCTTGCTTTCGTTCCTTCTTCGGTGTGCTAGGTGCTCCTTTATTTGAAACTTCGTTGGTCACCGGCGCGGGCGACGGCAATCTAAGAGGTTCTCCCCAATCTTTCACAAGATCGAAATTCAAGGTATCGGCAGTCGTCTCGCTCGAGCATGACGGTTGTGGTTGAACAGGACTCTTCAGGTTGAATTTCCTGGGTGGCTTGGGAGATGGCAAGCCGAGAGGGGATCCCCATCCCTCCAGGGGATCCTTCTTCGAGTCGCTCTTCGAATCGTCCTTAGCGTCATCCCGGAAGGAAGACGACGGACGTTCCTGCGTGGCACCCGTCTCGTGTCGAAGACTGCCGTTCGTATATCTCGGCGTAATACCGCCGCTGAAGGCGCCGCTCGCCTCCTTCATTTCCTTGTGCTCCATCAAAGCCTTGTCGAAGTCCAGATCGGCCTCGTCGACGTATTTCTTCGCGTCCGGCTTCTCGCCGTAACCGCCAGCGAACTCCTTTTCGACCATGAATCGGCTGTGAGCGGGATCGCCGCCGCTCTTCTGCATGCCGGTCTCCCCGTGGAAAGTCTTCATCGCGGAGATCTGCGGCGGCACAGCCGGCAGTTCGCCGTAGAAGCTGCCGCTCATCGCAGCCGCCGAAAACTCGACCTGCCTCTCTTCCTCCTTCTCGTATCCCGCTTGCGAGGTGGAAGAAAGGGGCGAGCCGGGCGGCTCGTCGTCGGAGCCCGCGCTGCCGCCGCGCTGCTGCTCCGAGGATTTTATGCTGCTGATGATGCTGCTGATCGCGCTCTCCGCCGAATCCTTGCCCGGCCCGCGTTCGTCCACCTTCACGTCGGTTTTCTCCGCCAAAACGACGGTCTCGCCCTTCTCATTCGTCGTCTCCGTGACCTCTTTGGTGGTCGTCACTATCTCACCCTCGTCAGAGATCGTCTTCGTGGTCGTAATGGTGGTGCGTATCATTTCGCCGGATCTAAATCCTTCCGGCGTGCCCGTCGACGAGCGACCGTCGGACCGTCTGTCGGGCGTCGATCTTCCCGATGACAAATGATGCTGAATCGCGGCGCCGTCTCTGATCAACGGCGACATGGGCACTTCCGGCGTGGATTTTCCGGTCGAGCCGCTGAAAACGATGTCCTTGGGCAGCGATATGTCCGGCGAGGACTTGCCCGAGTAGCTCTTATCGTCGGACATCAAATCTCGCACCAACGGAGACACCGAGTGCTCGAGCTTCTCCGCGCTCAAGCGCTCTTTTCCCGCGGGCTCGACTTTCTCCTCGTGCTTCAAATCGGGCGTCGATTTCCCGGAATCGTAGAAGGCTTTCACGTCCGGCGTCGAGGTGCCCGACGTCACGGTCGTGATTGTTTCTTTGATAATTTTCTCCGCGGACTTGGTGGTTTCCGCCGTGATCTTGCCGGAATCGATCAATTTCTCCAACAACTCCTCGCTGTCGACAGTGTCGGTGCTCTCGGTCACGTCTTTCTTCGTCGTGATTTTGCCGTCCGGACCGGTGATCGTCGTCACTGTCGTCACGATGCGCTTCACGTCGGCGCTGGCCGTTGCGTCAGACGCGCCGTCGTCGCTCACGACTCTGTACGTCGTGCCTGAAGTCGGATCTGTGTAAATTTTCGAAGGATCGGTCTGCGACAGTTCGGCGTCCGGCAACTCCTCCGTCACAATCGTTCTTGTTGTTTTCGTTGTGATCGTCTTCACGTATTCGCCGGTATCTTCGTTGGAATCGTCCACTTCCTCGTCGGGAACGACGATCTCACGTCTGATCACCTTTGTAATAATTTCCGGCTCGTCCTGCTCGATGATCTCGCGTTTCACGACTTTGGTGATCACTTCGGGCTCGTCGTGCTCCACGATTTCTCGCTTAATGATTTTAGTAATCGCTTCGGGCTCATCCTGTTGGACACTCGGTCGTTTAATTTCCTTGGCAAGCACTTCCGGCTGCTCTTGCGGTTCGGCTGTCTCGTGCTTTGATTCCGAAACGTCTTCGATAACCGATTCCTTTGCCACCTTCTCAGGTTCTTCCTCTTCAACCTCGCGTTTGACTATCTTTTTAACCACAATAATATCATCTGTAGATTGTTCTCCTTCCTCCGCAGTTTCTTCCGGTTCGTCCGCAGGTTCTCCGATTTTGCTCTCTCTCAGGATCGTGACAGTTTGCATGGGTTGAATTGTTTTCAAGTCATGCGGGTCGGTTTTCGTGATGTGCGTCGTGGTCAAAGGATGCTCCGGCAGCTTGCCGGATGCTTTGTCAGCAGATTCGACTCCGGATTCCGGCGAGGTGAACTCCGGCGTTGACTTTCCGGAGAGCGTCGTTATATGCGTCGTCCGCATTTCCGTCATTCCGCCAACGAAGGCCTTATGGAACTGGCTCTCGTAGCCTATCGGGTAATCGGCGGACTTGTCCTCCTGCCGCTCGCCCGACGGCGAATACTCCATTCCGTACTCCACCGAAGGTTTCCTGGCGCCACGCGTCATTTCGTAGTCCGCCGTTCCGCCGTCCGCCACTCTGTCGAAGCGATACATCGCCTTGTCGTAATCTTCCTCCGGTTCCTCCTCCTGGTAAATTTCCAGGTCGATCACGGATTCCCGTGGGATCTTTCTCTTTAATATAATCTCCTCCACGATTTCCAAAATAATGTATCTGGGCAGGGAAGTCCTGATAATTATCTCCTCGAGAATCACCTCCGTGATCTTTCTGCCCTTCTTTATGTACTCCTCCTCCAGCAGCTTCTCGGTTTCCACCCGCTTCTCTTCCGATATCAAAATCTCTTCGTCTATATGCGGCTCCGATCGAGCCGGGCTGTCCTGAGTCGATTTATCGGAAGGAATCGGCTCCGGGCTCGGGCTGGCGGAAAGCGCTCTCCCGTCTCTGTCGTGTCGATCGCTACCTGCGGGAGACACCTTGCCGTCTGGGCTTTCGCCCCTCACGCCGCTTGGCTTCGCGTGGCCCTGAAGATGCTCTTGAGCGAAAGCGATTCCTCCTAAATCCACACCGGTCGGCACAACGGATTTCTCTTTCGCTTCGGCGACATCCGGACTCTTCTCTTTTAAATCGTCGAGGAAGTCGAGAACCGTATTTCTAGGTATATTTTGCCGGCTGATAATGTCTTCTATTATTTCCATCACTATAAACTGAGGCACCGAATACATCATAACCAATTTTTCGATCACCACCAAACTGATCTTTCTTTTCCTCACGATATATTCCTCCAGAATGTACTTTTCGATCTCCGCTCTTTTCTCGGCTGTCACCTTCACGACGCCTTCCTCCTCGTCGTCCGACTTCTCTATCTTGCTCGGCTCCACAGCGTCAGGCTCCTCGAAATCGGCAAATCGTTTCTCGCGAATCTTCTGCATCTCCCTCTGAATCGCCTCGGGAGAAGTTACGGAACTTTTCTTCCTCGGCAAATCCTTATGCTCGTCCTTCTCTTGAGGGACTATTTGCTCCGGCGGCTTTTCGTCGAATAAACTGGCCGTTCTCGATCCGCTGGCCGGAGTTTTCTCCCCGGTATCGAACACGCTCTGCGAACGCGATCTGTCCGCCGCGAGCTTGTCCTCCGGCGAACTGGCGCGCGACGATTTGGCGGATCCGTCCTTCGAAGTTTTCCCGACATCCAAACTTGGCGAGATCGATCGTTCCTTCGCTTCCGATGGCGAAATCTTCGTATCGACGTCATCGAGCTTCTCGCTGGCCACGCTAGACGATCTTGATTTGTCTTTCTGATCGTCGACCGAACTCGGCGACTTTGAGGCGTCAGACGGCGATTTCGGTTCCGTCTTGTCGCTGATAATGCTCAACGATCTTGTTTTATCGGGCAAACCCGACTCGCCGGTTGCATCGAATGTTTTTAATCCATCGATGTCTATTTCTTCTGTCGGCTGCCTATCGTCGTCCATCGGTTTATCAAGAACAATGCTCGGGGATCGCGATTTGTCGTGCGATATAACATCATCTGGCTTTATATCCAATTTATCGGGAACTGCCGAAGATTTGCTTTGATCAACAGGTGGTTCTAATTTGTCAAGCGCGGTAGGTGAGATCGATTTCCCAATTGCTTCCGCTTTCTCGCTCGCGACGCTAGACGATCTGGATTTATCAGCTGGCAATTCTATCACGTCCTTGAGATCCGCTTTTTCCTCCGTAACACTGGTTGCTCTCGAGCTATCGACAGATTTCTTATCATCCGACTTTTCACTCGCCACACTCGGAGATTTGCTCCTCTCCTGCGAAATTGTGGGTGACGTCGCCTTCTCAATTGGTTCCTTTTGATCTGTCGTCGCGCTTGTCACGCTGGCTGATCTAGATTTGTCACCCGGCGGCTCCAACACGTCTTTCAAATCCGCCGTATCTCCCGCGACACTCGATGGCTTGGAACTAATTGCCGACTTCGCCTCTTCGGACTTGTCGCTGGTCGCGCTCGGCGATTTGCTTCTCTCGAGTTCCTCTTTCTTGTCCGAGACTGTCGATGGTTTCGATTTATCCGTCGGCTGTTCCGCGACGTCCGCCAAATCGGCTTTCTCTCCGGCGATGCTCGACGACTTCGAATCACCGGCCGACTTCTTGCCATCCGATTTTTCACTCGCTATACTCGGTGATTTGCTTCTCCCTATCGGTTCTTGTTTAATATCGGTACTAGCGCTCTTCTGTTCGTCCGCGAGCTTTTCTTGTTCTCCGGCGACGCTTAAAGTACTCGGTGATTTTTCAGTCTGCTGCTCCGTAACGTCCTTCAAATCCGGTTTCTCGCCAGCAACGCTTGGTGATTTGGAACGATCGGTCTCTTTTTGCTCGCCCGTAATACTTGCAACACTGGCAGATCTGGACTTGTCCGTCGTCGGTTCCAAAGCGTCCTTTTCATCTGGTTTCTCTCCGGCAATGCTCGGCGATTTCGATCGATCTGCAGGTTCCTTCAAATCACTCGCGATGCTTATCACACTGGGCGATCTTGATTTTTCATCCGGCCGTTCCGCAACGTCCTTCAAGTCCGGTTTCTCTCCGGCAACGCTCGGCGATTTCGATCGATCTGCAGGTTCCTTCAAATCACTCGCGACGCTCATCACACTGGGCGATCTTGATTTTTCATCCGGCCGTTCCGCAACGTCCTTCAAGTCCGGTTTCTCTCCGGCAACGCTCGGCGATTTCGAACGATCAGACGGTTCCTTCTTTTCCTCCGCAGCGCTGGCAACGCTAGAAGATCTGGATCTGTCCACAGGCGGTTCCAAAACATCTTTAATGTCGGGTTTTTCTCCAATGATACTCGAAGGCTTGGAACGATCAGCCGATTCCTTCTGCTCAGTGCTGGCCGCACTCGGAGATCTGGATTTTTCTATCGACGCTTCCGGTTTCTCGTCGGTAATGCTGGGCGATTTCGAACGATCAGCCGATTCCTTCTTTTCCTCCGCAGTGCTGGCAACGCTAGAAGATCTGGATCTGTCCACAGGCGGTTCCAAAACATCTTTAATGTCGGGTTTTTCTCCAATGATACTCGAAGGCTTGGAACGATCAGCCGATTCCTTCTGCTCAGTGCTGGCCACACTCGGAGATCTGGATTTTTCTATCGACGCTTCCGGTTTCTCGTCGGCAATGCTGGGCGATTTCGAACGATCCGCCGATTCCTTCTGGATATCCGTCACACTTGTAATGCTGGATGATCTCGACTTGTCGATCGGCGAGACTTGCGTGAGACTGTCTGCCTTCTCTCCGACAGGACTTGGAGACTTCTTCCTTTCCTCCGACACGTGCGGCTCCCCGGCGATGCTCGGAGATCTTGACTTTTCTTTCTCTCCAATATCTACTTTCTGCTCGACTGGACTCGGCGACTTACTCTTGTCAGGAATATCCGACGGAGATCGCGATACCTGTTCCAGTTTATCGTCCTTAACGCTCGCGACGCTGGGCGATCGGGATCTCTCGATTGATAGGTCCACAACTTTGGAATCTACTTTCTCTATGGAAATACTTGGCGATCTAGAACGGTCGCTTACTTTCTTGCTATCTGATTTATCACTAGCTACACTGGGAGATCTATCTTTATCTTGTGGTTCTTCAGTCTTATCAATAGCTTTAGGCGATTCTGGCCTATCAAAAATAGGAGATTTCGGTTTCTCTAAATAACGCTCCGTTACATCCTGAAGGTCTGGCTTGTCCGCGGCTGTACTCGGTGACTTCGAACGATCGGCCTCCTTCCTCTCGTCGGATTTATCGCTGATCGCGCTCGGAGATCTAGTTTCATCAATTGGTCCCTTTTCATCGTCATGTTCGCTTTCCACAATAGGCGATTTCTCGCTTATCGCTTCTTTTTCAACGGCACTAGGCGACTTGGGCTTATCGGTTTCTCCACTCTCGGCTTTATCACTTAAAACACTGGATTTATCGAGAGATTTAATATCCTGCTCAGATTTCTCACTAGCGATACTCGGAGATTTAGATTTATCCGCCGATTCTTCCTTCTCTTCCGGCTTCTCTAGTTCCGCGGCAGCTTCATCTCCTAATTTTATTTTATCGTCGCTTATTTTATCCGCGATACTAGGCGAGCGTGATTTCTCAGCTGCCTTTCCTTCATCAATTTCATCGACAACGGCGACAGAAGACTTCCTTCGTTCCAAAATTTCTTTATCAATCGGTTCGCTAATAATGCTCGGTGATCTGGATTTATCGATTTTATCTTCCTTTTCTCCTTTGTCGCTGGCAATACTAGGAGATCTTGATTTTTTCTCGACTGGTTCGATAATTTCTTCTCCTATTATACTATGACGTTTATCGCTAACGATGTCTTCGGGAAGTTTCTCCATCGTTATGCTGGACGACCTGGATTTTTCTCCTTCGATTTTACCTTCCGGTTCAGTCAGTTTTAATTCCTCCGCCTTCACACTGGCAATACTCGGAGACCGTACTTTGTCTTCGGCTAGCTCGCCTGCGATACTAGGGGATTTCGAACGCACGGACGGCTCTTTCTCCTCGGATTTCTCACTGGGTGTGCCTGACGCGTCCCTCTCTTCAGGCTTTTCACCGCTTATGCTCGGCGATCTTGATTTCTCTGTCGGAGCAGCATCCAAAATTTCTTCTCTCTCCGTTGGCGCCGGTAACTTTTTGTCCGCAACCTGCTCGGGCGATTTTCCGGAGACTTCCTCAACGTCCTCCTCGCTAATAGGTGCCTTTGCGAAATACATTTCAGGTTTATCCGTGGGAGACTTGGAGAAAATCGTTTCGGCCGGTGAAACATCTTCTGAACGAAGCGACTCCGGCGTTTTCGGAACAGCGGCGGCTTTCTCGTGTTCAGATTCCGGAAGCGCCTTCTCGATTGGAAGTTTTGGTTTTTCGATTGATTCCACCGCGGTATCCTTCTCATCGGATTTCAACGGCTCGGCAATCGGTTCCTCTTGTTTCTCGGGCGACTTTGATTTGTCTGTTTCAGTCGCAATTTTATCTGATATTTCTAAATCTTCTTTCTCCGCGGGAGATTTCGGCTTTGCGATATCGTCCATTTTCTCCTTTGGTTTACGCGGTTCCGATTTCTCCAAACTGTCTTCGAGATCCTGAGAATCGCGAGTGCCAAGGGGTGATTTTTCCAGACTATCTTCGGGAGTGGTCTTGTCTTTACCTTCGGGCACCGATTTCTCGGAAATGCTGTCCTTCTCGGGAGTGCTCGCACCGGAACGCAACGATTCCTTGTCGAGTAAGGAATCCTTATCCGGTGTGGTTTTTACTGACACATCCTTAAGAGAATCGTCTGGGGTGACGATCTTCATGAAAGTTATGCTGCCGGTTGGACAAATTTCCGTTTCCTCCCTGCCGTCCTCGCTGCTTGCTGTGACCAGCATTCTTTTCACAGTGCCGACGTCGTCAACTTTTAAAGGCTTGTCTGTTGATAATTCTTCGTCTGCAATCTTTTCTGAAGGCTCAGCGACATCGACAAGTGATTCGTCCTTCGCCTTCGATATTTCGTCTTCTGGCTCTTTCGAAATGCTCCTCTTTTTACGCAAAGCTTCGTCAGGTATTTCTTGAGGACTTGCAAAGCCTGTTGCATCTGCGAGTTTTGTTTCCGGCTTTACTTCGGTTGCAACTTTTTCGGGAACTTCTTCGGTGGAAATCTCAGCACCTTCCAACGTTTCGTCTTTAATTGGAGTTGTTGATTTTGATTTGTCCTCCTTCGTTAATTGTGGTTCGTCGATTTTTTCTTTGATCACGGGCTCGATTTTTTTTACTTCATCCGGTGACACGGATTTCACGATGGTGTCCTTTGGAAGAGTATCGTCTGTCTTTTCCTTAGCTTCGTCCAAGTATTTTTCGATGGTATCAACAATTTCCGATACCTCAGACGTCTCCGGTTCTTCAGGCTCTCGCTTTTCGTCGATAGTTTTAATATCTTTCGCGACCGGCGGCTCTTCCTTTCCAATTTTTTCTTTCGTTTCTTGCACGAACTTCTCGTCCGCCTCGATCACATCGCTCGTGGTGTCGTCCGCGCCTTCTTCGGCTTCCTCTTTCTCCCGCATTTCATCCGCCTTTTCAGGAGACGTGACTGGAATGTCGCGTACTTTATATTCCTGTTCGACAGCTTCGAAATCATCGTTCACATCTTTCTCGTGTTCCTTCGCAGCTGTAGGCGAAACATCCGCTTTCTTTTGCGCGTCGACCTTCTCATCGGAAATTCTTCTAGGTATACTGACGAAACCGTCCACTTCCTCCTCGACATCCTCTTCTTCAGCAGCTCCTTTATCCTTCTCTTTATCAGGACTGGAAATTTGAGCGACTGACTTTCTCTTCTCAGTCGAAATTTCCGGTTCGAGGGTCTCCTCCTCCTTGATTATGCGCGATAATTCTGCTTCAGGCACGCTAAGTACTTTAGATCTTGGTATTTTCCTCTTAACAATAATTTCTTCGATAATCTCAATAATGATTCTCTTAGGCACCTTCTTTTTATTACAGATTTCTTCGAGTTTTTGAATATTAATGCTATCTCCTTTAGTAATGTATTCGTTAACAATGTATTCTTCAACTTCCGCTCTCTTTTGCGGAGTCACCGGCTCTTCCGTTTCCGGAATTTCCGCGCTAGGAACTTCAGTGACCGACTTTCGTTTCTCATCTTCTGCCTTTGGTGCTTCCTTCTGCTCTTCAACCTCGGCCGTCGTTAAGGTTTCGTCCTCGGCAATGTCGAGCACTGCGTTTCTGGGAATTTTCTTTCTAATAATAATTTCCTCGATAATTTCAATGAGAATTTGTTTAGGCACAGTCTTTGTAGTAGAGATTTCGTCGATTGCAGACGTGGTGAGCTTTCTGCCTTTGATAATGTATTCATTCACGATTAAATTTTCAATCTCCGTTTGCTGTTGAGGCGCGATCGATTCTTCCACTTCGATCGGTGCGCTTGGAATTTCAGTAGTCGATTCGCGCTTTGTTGTTATGTCTATTCTCGGCGTTATCTGCTCTTCCACGGACTCTTCCGGCGATTCCTCCGGCGATTCCTCTTTAATTATTTCCGACAGCACGTTCTCGGGAACGTCCAGTACCATGTTTCTGGCGATCTTTTTCTTCACGATAATCTCTTCGATGATTTCCACGACGATCTTCTTGGGCACGACTTTTTTAATCGAGATCTCGTCGACGACCTCGATAGTAATTCGTTTACCCTTCACGATGTACTCGTTAACAATGTACTCTTCAACCTCCATTCTTTTCTCGGGCGTGATAGACTCCTTCACCTTCAGAACTTCAGGATCATCCACCACGTCTTCTCTAGACAGATTCTTTTTCACGATAATCTCCTCGATAATGTAAATCACGCGCTCCCTCGGGATGCGCTTTACTACGGTGATATACTCGATTATTTCGATAGTGATCTTCTTCTTTTTCGTTATAATCAGTTCCTCGATGATCTCCTCGACCGGTGCTTCCTTGCTGAGAACCTGCTCGACGTCCTCCGGCAACTTGGGAGCGTTCTGAAGACTAATTTCTAATTCTTCATCGTACAGCTTGTCCGACGCGAATTTCGGCGAGGTCGGCGTAGAGCCGGGCGTCACCATCACTATTTCCGCCTTCGCCGGCGAAACCTTTTGCTCGAAGCTTATTACGGGTTGCTCGATCTCCTCGAGTGACGGCCGTTTCGCCACTTGCTTCACGCATACACTTTCGATGCCAGCCTGCATCACGTCCACCTGAGATATATCGATATCGGTCGGTTTTTTATGCTGATCGCAAATATGCTGATCATCTTTTAGCATCTCCGAACAAATTTTCTGAGCGTCTATCATATCCCTCGCCGCATCTTTCTTAGGCGACGTTGCATCCGTCTTATCCTTCACCACTTTTATGCAAGGTTCCTCTTTTATCTCGACAGCACCAGGTTTCTGATACAACGTCGACGGCCTGTCGAGTTTCTCAATAAGATCCTCGACTTCTTCTTGAACTGGAAATTCCTCAGTGATGCCGACCTTTGTCGGCACCACAACGTCCTCCTCAGAGAGTTTAGATTCCTTTTCATCTGATGCGGTGGCTTTTTCCGGAGATACTTTCTCGCTCGGTATCGATGGCTTTCTCTCAGCTGACGAAATCTCCCCCTCTTGGCCAAACAATGTTTCCCCGGAAAGAAAATCGTCCTCTCTCTGAGAACCTCGGCGACTTTCTTCACGATTTCCACCACATCCTTCGGCTTGTCGTCGAGAATGATTCCGGCAGTGCCAGCGAGAACTTCTCCGACATCTCTGATTCCCTCCTTCATGTCTCTGTAAGGTCCTTCTAGCTGCTCTTCGTATTCCTCTTCAAATTCCTCATCCTTTGGTATGGCGAACTTAACTTTCTCCGGCTCCTTTACTATGTCGGGCGACAGATGTGGCTTTATCACTTCTAACTTTTCGACCACTCCTTCCAAAGTATCCTTTATCGCGTCTTTCGAGGAAGACGGCACTTCCTGTAATATTTTGGCAATTTCTTCCTCCTTAATTTTCTCCTCCAAAGACTCGAGTGAATCTCTTAAACTATCTTTCACGGTTTTAAACTTCTTCGAGGCTTCCTCCAGGAGCGCTTTCACCTCTTCCGCCTCCTCTCCGATATCCTCTTCGTCCAAAAGTTTCTTCTTCGCGATTTCCTTATCTTCGATTGATTTCGGCGGCGATTTATCCGTCGCTTCTTTGATTTCAGCCTCCACTTGTTTAATTTCTTCCAATTTGCCAGGCGAAAGCTTCTCTTCGATATCCGGCACGCTTTGTCTCTGCGCGTCCACTATTTCACCTTGTATAAACGCCGAGGTTTCTTTAATAGCAGCGACCTTCACGTCAGCGATTGTTGGTTTCGCCTCTTCGAATGCGTCAGGTTTGTCGGATTTGCCGACTTTCGGGAACATTTTCTCCATATCAACCTCCTCCAAGACGGTTTTCTCGAGCAACTTTACTTCCTTCGGAGAGCTAGATTTCGAAGATTTGTCATCAGAGTCCTTCTCGCCGTCTTTCTTCGATTTTTTCGTCAACTTGTCGATGCCTTTCTCGAATTTATCCGCCACCTTGCCGAAAAAGCTGAAGACACCCTTCTGCTCCTTCACCGGCGGTGTGGGCGGCTCTTTAACCTCCTGCGGAGTCGGTGACGGCTTCTCCTCCTTTCCTTTCTCAAAATCTTCCATCCTGTAGAGCTTAGGATCGACTTCCTCGTGAACTGGAAGATCGGCGACTTCGTCGGGTGTTTTAACGATGTCCCTTTGCAGGCTTTGCATCGCCTGACGAACATCAAATACCTTGACTTCCGGCTTGGCCGGCACGGGAACGGTTTCCGGAATTTCCTCCTCTTCCGGCTTCGCGGGGGAATCCTTCTCCTTCACCTCTTCGATCACGTGTTTCTCATCGATGTCCTCTTTTATTTCGTCCAACGGTATTCGCTCGTCCTCGGGTAAAGTCGGCGCGGTGGTGGTCGCCCCCGATTCTATCGTCGAGATTCTCTCCTGAGATTCTTCCATTTTCTCGAGGACCTGCTCCTTCTGATCGACATCCGGTTTCATGTCTGTATCGGTGGTCTTTTTCTCCGACGAGTCTAATTTGTCCGGGCTCAGGCTGGACGGTTCCTTCGTGATGTCCTCGCTGTCCTTTTTACCCGAGTCCTCCTTCTCTTCGACTTTCTGCACGATTTCAGCCGCGGAGGCTATTATCTCTTTTACTTCCTCCTGCAATTGTTCCTTGTGTTCCAGAGATATTTTAGCCGGCTCCTCGTCTTTATGCGCAACTTTCTCGACCTTCTTTTCCGGAGTTTCATCTTTTCCCTTTTCCTCAGGCTCCTCCTTTTCACCCTTCTCCTCCACGTCTTTCAAGATCTTTGCCTTCTCCGATTCGGCCTCGTCGAGTACATGCTTCTGTTCGCCCTCGCCGCTTTGAGCGGAATCCTCGGTGTAGATCTCCTCTTTCTCCACGATGAGATACTCGTCCTCTTCGGTCAATTCCTGGCTTTCTTTTCTAGAACTTTCCTTCTTGGGCGCATCCTCAATTTCGGCGGTGACATCTTCCTCCGTGATATCCTCTTCCTTCTTATCGGTGGCTTCGGCAGTAATTTCATCATCCGCCTCGAAGCGATCGTCCTTACGAATCTCCTCGATTCTTTCCGCCTTTTGTAAAACGGCTTCGATTTCCTCGACGACTTCTCGCTCCTCCTTGAGATCTGCCAGCACTTTACTTTCTATAGAATCCAGTGAAATGTCCTCGGATTGCTCGATTAAACTCTTGTCGATCGGTTTTACAACCTCGGGCTCTATGCCAGACGGAGTAGAGACCGTGGACGAGTCGGTGGTGCCTTTGTCGCCCTTCACTTTGCGTATAACGCCGTCCTTGTCCGATTTTACGGACGTAGTCGGCGTGCTGCGAGTCGATTTCGCCGGACTGCCCGGCAAACGAGCCTTGCTCGGGCTGATCGGCTTCGCGCGACGACTAATCGGTTTCCTGTCTATCGGCTTAGGCTTTGCCTTGACGGCGGGCGCCGCGGTGTCTTTCACGGCGGATTTCTCGACTTCGGATTTCTTCTGTTCCACCACCTTCCTGTTGTTCGCCTCCTTAGCGCTCTTCGCCGGCAGACTAGGAGCAGCCTTAGCCGCCGGTTTCGCCTTCGACACGACTTTCGATATTTCCGTCTTCGTGGCGGCGCCATTCAGAGTCTTCTTCGGCGTAGTCGGCGAAGATTTCACGGAGTCTTTCTTCTCCGTACCGGGAGGCTTCACTCTCTTCGGTCTCGAAACTGTTTCGCTTTTCTTCACTTCTGGTTTCACCGCAGTCTTACTCTCTTTCGCTTCTTTCTTCTTCGGCTCTGGTTTCGGCTTAGGTTCCTTAGGTTCTTTAGGTTCCTTGAGTGCAGTCTTCTCGGATTCCGGTTTGATTAGATCAGTCTTTTTGATATCGTCCTTTTCGGGCTTCTCCGTTTTGACCGCTTCCTTCTTTGGCTCCTTCTTTACCTCTTTCAGTTCCTTCTCGATCTTCTTACTCTCCTTCGCATCGGTCTCGATCTTCTTGTTCTCCGCGACTTTCTTCGTCTTTATCTCGGCTTTAGGTTTGCTCGTAGGGATAATCGGCGTCGACTGAGGAGTTTTAGACACAGTCTCGTCCCCAGCTTTAATGGATTTCGGCTCCGATGGCTCTCTCTTTTCCTTTTTCAATTCCGAGATTTTCCTTGGCTCCTTCTCGATAAGGCTGAATTTCTGCTTAGCAGGTTTGTCCCTGAGTGTCGCCAAGGACGTCGACGGTGATAGTGTTTTCGCCGAACATACCGGATGCTTCAAGAAATCCAGATGCTTCAGTCGCTCGAAACCTTCGAAAATCTTGTGCTGCGGCGTGCTGCCGGGGAAGAGAATTCGCGTGATATTATCCTCGGGATTGGCTGGCTGCCAAACCAGAAGCGCGCATATCGACACGAGATTCTGAATCGGAAATGTCAGATTGTTCGTGTCCTTCTTGTGGGAGCCGGCGAACAGTTTCGAGTCCGACGTGTGCCACTTCGCCAAGAACTCACGCACTTCGCGGCTGTCCTTACTCGGACTGAGAACGTACATATCCAGGGTGCCGTGGCCCACCTTGTGGTAGAGATTAATCGGATCGGGATCTCTGTAGCACGGATGAGCACGGAGATTAATGTGCCGAAGATTCAACACCATCTCTTGACCAATATCGGTGAGATTGAGAATGAGAGGATCGATGTCTTTGTCGCCATCAGGTGAATTTGATTGTCTTCTTTCCTGCATTACACACAAAATATTCACATACTTATTTTATTTTGTCGTAACCAGCGAAGGTGGTTAAAAAAATGTAGCAAGATATTAACAATTAATAAAAATTATAATTTATTATAAATATTGGCAAGAATTCTTAAAAAAATAGGGACAACTTACGACTAAGTTACAGAAGAAATGGCCGATCTGAGGGTAGACGTGCATATCCTTTTTCTTACGAAGAACACTGAACATGCCGCCGATGTTGCTATTATTTATCCTAGTGATTAGAACTGCGTCCAATCGGTCCAGGTGCCTGGTGAAGTCCCAGAAGCAGGCTTTCCTGGCGAAGCCGCCGTCGACGAGCATGTTGAAACCGTTTATACCGAAAAGCGCGGCATCACCTTGCCCACCGGGGAAGACGTATAAAGTCGGATGACTAAATCTAATGTTTCCAACGACGTCGGACGGTTCCATGAGCTGGTCCAGTGTCTGCGACACGAGATACTGTCCGATGTAGTTCGTGAAACTCGTGATGGCTGGTACGCCGGCTGTGAGAACATCGTCAGGATTCACCCTGACTCTGCATGATCTGTCGGCAGATAACAAGCGTATCAAAATGTTTATTTCACTTTAATAATACAATGCAGCGTTCATTTATATTTGAGAATAATTTCATCATCTCCGCGCTTTATCAACGCCATTAAATGAAGCAAGCTTCTGTACGCACCTGCAACAAGCCTCCTTCGATAATCGACTTGTCGTCCAATCGCCGACACCTGCACAATGTATATCTACGGTAACGCTATTCTCATAGGCACGAAGAACCCTTTGCACCTCATGCTCGCTGAATGCATCCAAAAAGTCTGCGAGACTAAAGGTTCCATCCTGAATAACAATATTGATCGTGTTTTTAATTCAAGATGACACTGCAGAATTCGTCGACGTTTTCGCATAATCTTAATATTATCAATGTAACGCTTAATCCCGAATCAACGGTTGAGTGTATTCGCTTTTGAAATTCAAATACCTGCAATATCCAGGAACCATTGCCACCAAATGTGTATCCAGCGTGTATGATGTGCCGATGCTTCGTGAAACTAGCCAGGAGATTGCGAATACATTGCAATAACGTATTCGTTTGCGGGTGAATGAGAACTTCCGTTACGAGGTTCTCGGTGGCATATTGGATCAATCTTTCGCCTGAAAGTTCCATTCAATCATTCACTAATAAATTCTATTAAGATAAAAATAATTTATTTTAATGAGTAAATAAATTTTATTAAAATAAGAAATAATAATAATATAAATTATGAGCAAGTCAAGTCAATTATGTTTCATAATTACCGTTTCTGGCTTCTTCGCCTTCGGGGGCTTGTGCTACTAAGGCCAATAATTCCTTCTCCAGATCGACGTGACAACTGTCCTTGTCCCATGATAGAAAACCTACAACAGTCGATAAACGACGATCGCTAGAGGGGCAATCTTATAGCCAAACTTTTACAGCGGCATGCTCTTCATACATGTTAAGCAGATCAGCGCAATATCGGAAAACTTTTAGAATGGAATCTGCATATAAATCACTGCTCCTCAAGATCCAATGTAACTTTAGATATTCCAGCTACATAGTCTCCCTCATGAACTTGGACAAGCTTTTCTAATCCTGGCCCTGATATTTGGACTGAAAAGTAGGTTGTTCTCGTTTCGGATCATCTATATATACGCGCAGTAACGTTAAGCATTCGTAGTTGTTTTTAAACAGATATTTGCATTTCGGAATGCGACAATAACAGAAATATTAGATTATCGCAAAATTATCGATACAAATTATTCCACTGAATTCTAATTTTTATTAAAGATTTCATTTTTAAGAATTTTTTAGTGTTGCTAAAAATAAAAAACTTTTTTTAAATTAAAAAAAACAATCTACCTTGTAATAAAATTCTCTATAAAATGTTCGCCGTTTTTGCTTAAGTATTTTTAATTACAGTGCTGCGTTTAGCGTACATATAAAATTACATGTTACGATTAATCCCAATTTAGTTATCGTCAAATTACCAGACGTTCACAAGTGAGTGGGTTTATAATTGCGTATTAATACAAGACTGCAGTGGTTTGACTTTGTGCAGTAGGGATAGTACCGGTTGATGTAAGATTAAGGATAAGATGAAGCTGTCAAACATCAAGTTATTGATTGATAAATGAAAAGAGAGAGAGAGAGAAAATTAATATCGCATTAAAGCAGTGTCGTATCGAAACATAGGTAGCGTAAATAAAGTAAAAAAAATCATATGTAAAATTTAACATAAACATAATCTTTATTCGCAATGTTTGTTAATATATTTATTAAAAAATTGTTATGTAAAAATTAATTGCAAATTATGTGCAAAATTGACGTAATAGGCAGAAAAGGGAATGCAATTAGTCTGCAACATAATAAGATAATTAAGATAATTAAGATTTTAGAATGAGTGAATCAGCAATTGCAGTTCGTCACGAGGGTTGCTTGCGGCAGTCGTTCGGTGACGTCACCAACACCGCACCCCGTCACGTGGTTCCTTGCCAGCTGGCAATCGATCGCCGCACATCCTGTACCCACCCTCTATTGCCAACTTTAACGCGGGGATATTCCACTTTTGAGATATCGTGTAAAAAAATTTCTGATTCTCTCATATCCTCTTAATGTATTTCAAAAAAATTGAAAGATAAAAAGAATTATAAATAAGAAATTATTCTTATCGACACTAATATTATTATAAATGATAGAAAAGATATATATATATATCTATCTTTTCTATCCTTTCTATCCTTATTTTACCTAACCTAATATTGACAATTAAAATAATACTGTAGTTGTATTATGACATTTTATTTTTACAGAATCAATCCTTTGTGGCAATTTTTGAAGTTTGACCTTATCGTTCAGTATCTCACGATCGAATCCGCGCGAAAACTTTTTTTAGAGCAAAGTATTTCTGCAAAACAAAAGTGGTGAAAAAATTATGCCCAACGTCTTGTAGCGAATTAAAGGATTGATGATGCGGCACAATGGAACGTAATTCGTTGCCAAGGGAGCTCAAACTGGCTCTCGCGTAATTCTATACCGGCGCGTGCAGACAAGTCTGGTTCGAGACGTTGCTTGGCAACGTCGTAGTATCAATCAATGCCGTGGATAGAGAGGAGTAGAAATTAACAAAACAAAAAAGGAAGAGGGAAAAGACAAAAGAAAACGAGCAAGTAGGATGCGCAACGAATTCCACGCAGCTTCCTCGCAGCCTCCAATTTTATCCCGCAATAAGTAAATACGTGTTGCATACTTTCCAGTAAACGTGGACGCTATTATTAATCCCGACTGACGACATATATCACATTCTCGCGAAATTACATTTAAAACCGCGAATACGAGGAATGTGGACTATGCGAATGCAGCCGGATTGTCTAAACGAACTCGACTCATTACTTAATTAATCAGGAAAAGAGTTTCGCATTCATTTTTCCGCATATCTCTGCTATCCAAGCGGGCATCAAACAGTTAAACTTTTCAATCGGTGTTAAGCGGAAAAAATTGATAAGATAATTGCAGATAATTTTTAAAAGCACCGTAAATATAATACATTAAAGAACAACGAAATTGCTATTTTTAATCGGGCGGTGGAGAGAGTCACATTGTCACAGCGGAACACATCGAGCGTACTCGATGTGTCAAACTGATCGGAAGCCCCAAGGCTGATATAAGAGAAGCCGTTTCTCATGGGTCGCGTTACTTAATGCTCACTGACTCCCACCGGTTTTGGCTGCGATAGGTATCAAATATCGCGACGAAAACGAAAATTCGCACAGGGCCATCAGCTGCATTCGACTTGACTTCGGAGTAGCGGAAAGTCTTCGTCAAGAATAAAAAAATATAATTTTTTTTAATGTTACAAACGCGTAAAATGATATACATTTATTAGAAATAAATTCTAGCTCTTATAGTTTCCGAAAGTGAAATCTATCGCAATCATAATGTTTGAAACTGTTCGTTTCTGATAATTAATTTTCGGAGCATAATTTTACGAAATTACTAATTAATTAAAATTGATTGATGGATTAACGATGCGGAAATTAAGTTACCGTTTTCTCTCTTTTCTTTATCTTGCAGCTGTTGCTCGTTTAAGATAAATAATGTTCTCGCGTGAAGCGAAGCACTCCAATAAGTCTCTCTTTCTCCTTCCTTGTTGCAGGAATAGCTTCTAATTGCAACTAATGAGCTCTACGACACATTACCGCATTCCCCTGATTTACTATTTTAACGAACTCGATCGTTTGGATCGGTCTGCCTTTCCGATGACTATCACGTCTAGACTCGGTAATTACAGCCAATTAACAAAACCATTAATTAAACACGCTGTTTTCCATTCAGAGTATCGGCTTGCATGTGTGTAATAAATTGATAACTTCGTGACTAGTTGCGGACACGAAAAAAATGAAGAACTTATTATTGCTATTAAAAAAAAGCCGAAATATCAAATAAATTGATTCGTAAATTTTTTCCGAACATTCTATCAATTTTTCATATTGCTTCCATTAATTTTCTCCGTTTCCAATTAAACTTTAGTGGAATGCTCGCTTTTATAAATAGCGCGCGCAATTTGTGTCATTAACAACACAATAGCAAAGATAATTTTGCGGTCCAACTAATTAATTTATTGATTAAAGCAGAGTGTTTTAATTACAAACAGCCTACGGGCTTTGTACGCAAAGCGAATTAACATCGTGCGTTCGATGCAATAAAAACAAACTTTGCGGATTCGAAGGAAACGAAATTCGCGCGGAATCGAAATTCCATCGAGTGAATCGCGCGCGGAAGCGCGCCGATAAATTTTGACTGCGAATTTCGACAAATAGGGCGGAAAAACGTTGCGATGTAGAGTGTCACTTGAGTGGAATGATATCCACCATTGACGAAAAATGGCGACGGATAATCCGCCATCGATTTATTCTGCAAATACTAAAGGGCATTTGTTCCAGCGGGAGTCCCCGTTTTCAATCAAGAGCGATGCATCGCGATCGGCTACAAGTGCACACGTACGCGCCACACTTTCATGAAGCAGGCCGCAGACGTGTCCAGCGGTTTCCTGCTTCAGCGTGTGACGTTCTGACGTGTCGCCTCTATCTTTCACACAATAGGGATGTATCTAAATAGGCGATCGACGTCGGGCGTAGGAGCTTTTCACGATTGTCCGCGGTAATGCAGCGTATTCGCGCGTCGCGATATATTATGTCCACAAAAAGGGGAAAAGATCCAAGGCCGGTTTTATCTAACAAGGCCTCCTCTGCGTGTATCACGGGTAACTTGATTTTCACTGACCTATAATATTTCTGCGCCACAGGCCGCGTTCGTATGTATTCTTTTTTTTTTTTCAAGCCGCTATTACGAAAATACACAATTGCGAATACGGACGTGTGCGTTGATATTATTATCGCGCGCGAAGTAATCGTTGTCCGAAGAACACTTCTAAGCTAATTCGCGCCGTCAAAATCTCTCGCGGCGCATAGAAGGAATATTTAATACACGATGTCTCCGCGAATTAGTGCTCTAAGCTAAGTATAGACAAAACGCGTTTCTCCGCGGCAGCTCCCACCTCGTGCATCCCTTAGCGCGTTCGCGTTTCTCGATTTGCATTGGCTTCCTTTTTCCCTTAGCCGACGACGGATGCCGGGAATGCTGGGTTTGTCCCAACTATGTTTAGAAATGGTTTCTCGTTGTCCTGCCTGCTGCAACGCGCCTACGTGCCGCGATGCGCGTAGCGAGTACACGTGCGACACAAAGTGTCGCTTTAAACAGCCGGAGAACACCAGGAAGAGAAAAAAATTATAATATATATGCACATACACGTCTGATTCTGATTTGAAAGGCTCCACGATTATTCTGAAAGAATTTATGAATAGCTATTCATTATGCATATTACGCAACAAATAATGCAATTACTGCTTTAATTCCACCATAAGATAATTAGTACAATGAAATATCGCGCAGCTGGTATTGATGCGAACTAAACACGACAGTGTTTCCAATATCTTGAGCACACCGCGAATATCGGTTAACTGAAATATAAGAGTAAAGCCTTTGTAATGTAAGAGGGTCAAAAAGTTCCTAGGAAAATCGCTGACGTCGTTCCCGATTAATCTCGAACAGAAATGCCGAAGGGACGATCAATAATGACCTATTATTTCAGCCAGTTTTTCTACACAAGCACTTACGTACATGTCTCATTTTGCAAATACAATATTTTCGTAATTTATATCGCAAATAGTAATTATTTTTAAGGAGATGAAATCTTCGTCTACTTTTATCGACAGTTCGATTTCAGTGCGCGATGTATTTTTCTGTAATTTTAATTGTAATACCAATTATGTTTCGCGAATGTGATATGTAAAAAAGAATTGATATTCATGTGCATATA